ATATAAACAGTCTTTATAGGGTCCTTGAAGAAGAACATGGTGAGCCTTCAGATCCTTGAAAGTAAAGCCAAATGGATAAAAAATAATAGAGATATTATTATCTTTGATGAGTTTATAAATAGATATCAGATTAAAATGAAGCGAGGGTGTGTGGAAAATTTGAGTGCAATTAAGCTTACGATAGGGGGTCGATAGTAGCCTCGCCCCTGAATGAGTGATACTAATGGATCTCCTGTCCCCGAAAATTGTTAGAACAGCTCAGCTTATCTCGTTAACAACTTATTAATCTTGTAAACCTATTAGAGATGTACACGTGTAAAGTTATCTTATTATATTAGTATATATAGGTATTAGTCTGTACCGTAGGACAACCAAGAAATACAAAATATATTTGATTTACTGTTCATTGTCTTCCTCAGATGAGTTCTTGAAACTCCTACTTCCATACAAGAGTTTCTACAAAAATGACGCTATCAAGTCCTTGATAGGGAGTAGAGATGGAGAAATTATCAAGAGAGTTTGTGAGATGAGAGGATGCGCCCGAGTCAAAATACTAGTTTATGGAGGAAGTATTAGCACTAGCCACCAAGGCTTTGGTTGAAGTAGTCTCAGATTGCGAAACATACTGTGGGTTTAAATGATGCCAATAATTTGGAGCAGAATGACCCTTCTTGTAACAGATTTTACATACTGTGAGAAAGGATGAGGATGTGTGATTTGTGTTGGGAGGATTTTGAGACTGATGACCTCTATTCCAATGCTTGAATCCCCTGTAAGAGAAGAGCGCTAGAGTCGGATTGCTGGAAAAAGTATTGCAAGCAGCATCCGCAGCGATGCTGATCTCTTCACTTAGAAGTAAAGAATACAAATTATCTAAACTGATAGGTGTTAGCAAGGTGCGGATGGTCATTTTGAACGACTGATAGGAGCTGGTAAGCCTATTAAGGATATAAAAAATTATATTTTCGGAATCTAAGTTCGACTCGACAGCGGGGATTTGATCGACTAACGATTTGATTTTAGTGAGGTATTGTGTCATGGTGGAATTCTTAAGAGAAATATTGTGAAGTTCATTTTTAAGTTGAAAGACTTTGGAGCGATTTGTCAATTGAAACTAGGTTTCTAGCGTGAGCTAGATAGCAGATGTAGTCTAAAGATTCACAATATAAGGTTGCACCGTCGAAGAGATGGTTGAACATAGAGTAGCGAAGAACATTGAGATTAAAAGAATTTAATCTGGTGATCCAATCAGGGTGGCGTGAGAACTGCGCGGGGGGATTAAAAGTTGGGATCAAAGAAAAACTTCTCAAAACCAAGTATGCGAAATGATTTAATGATATGAGATTCATCCATAAGGAATAATTGTCAATGCGGAGTTGAGTTGGGAACAAAGTTATATGAGATTTAAACGACGACTTCATGAGTCGATGGAATGCAACGGTTCGGCAAGAATCGCATTGATCTACATAATTCCGTCGCTAGCTGAGACTAGATCCGAGTGCGCCATGGATTCAGAATGATCAGACCTTCCTCTTGATACCATGTAGAGAGTTTAGAACCAATAAATGAAATAAGAAGATGAAAGCTGCCGTAGAGAGAGAGGAAGCTAAAAACTAATATATAATTCTTGTTTAGGATGTATACAGCATAATATGTATAATAAGTACATCAGGATTTGATGCTATAGCTACAGTAGAGCGAATCTGATAATGCCACCTCATTTACAAATATGAAGTATCTTAAAGCTATTTAAATATATAAGCTTATAGTTTGTAGGTACTTAGCTAATTTTTCCTCTGCTTGCAGTTGGACAAAATTTTGGGGATTTGTTGTATCTTTTTTGAGGTTGCTTTGCAATTTGGAGATTTTATTTTCTGGTGATTTAAGCTTGAGTATCTTTTTAAAATTTTGGCCTACTTTTGGGCCTATGTTTTTTTTTTTCTTGTTCCATTTAATAAAATTTTGGGCAAGCCCAACAATTTTTCTATAATAAAAAAAACACCCTTTGTATGAACTCACATATAATAGTTCAAACTAGCGGGTGACGTATTCTTTTGAATGACGCTGCAGGCCTTTGAATATTATTATTTTGCTTAAATGGTTGTAGTACGATGTTCGTATAAGAGCGAATTCTGAGTTCATATGCTTGGAATTGACTCAAATTTTAAATATTAATTTAGATGTGAATGGACTATGGAGTATCTAAAAATTATGCATTGATCTTTGGAGAACAGAGAAGCCTGCCATGCAAAAGCAGAATGATTTGTTAAAGAAAGTTTTTTTTTTTTTGTTCATTTTGTTTTGGTTGATTTTACTTTCAAAATCTCATTAGTACTTTTTAATTATGGTGATGATACCTAACAAAAAAAATACTTAAATTTTATCAAGATTAATTTGTTATTGATATTAAATTTAATTTGAGATAAATTATATTAAGAATTTCTTGATTGATAAAGATGTTTAAAATATATTTAAAAAATTAAATGATGATAAATTGATTAAATATGACCTGAGAATCGACATGACACATTGTGAATAATGATCTCTTTATAACCCGCCGTCCTTTTTTACTTGTGTTGCTATCTAAAACTTATTCGCGCGGTAGACAATAAGTATAAAGTTTAACAATGCTTAGCATTGTACACGAAGTACTAGCACACAAACAGATTGAATAGAGATGGTGGCGTTTATAATAAGTACATGATTTTATCGTAGACACAATAGTTTTTATGTAAAAACCCTAGAAAAGAGAAAAAATCACGGAGCCTGATCCAGTTTGAATGAATCTACTACTATTTGCAATTGATTACAAATGAGGCCCTTCCTTGGGGGGAAGGCTTTGGGCTGATGTAGCAAATATACATCATATAGAGTGCATACATGGCAGGAATTGAAAGAATGATTATTGACATATTTGTTGAGTTGGCAGAACCATACTCAACAGACAACAGATGTCGAAAATATCGTATTCGGGTGACGGTGGTCAGAATGACTGTAGTCGGCTGGCGACGGAGGTCAGAATGACTGTTATCTAGTGATGAAGGCCGGAAGGACTGCAGTCGGGTAAAATTATAACAAAAGCCTAATGACTGGTAGAAGTCCGACGATGGACAAAAGTTCAACATCGTGTAGAAGTCCGACGAAAGTCTGGCGACGGGTGGAAATCCGACGTCGGATAGAAGTCTGGAAATGGGTGGTGGCCGAGAGGTGGTTGAGGAGGAGTCTTGTAGCAAGAAAAATCAAGTTTGTAATGTTCCTTCTCATCCTTCCTACCTTGGCTCCTTGCTTCTCTGGGTCCACTTCCATGATAAATGAAGGGTGTATTTATTATTGTTTAAGAGTAGCATGGCCAGTAAATAGGAGGAGTTAATATCAAGGGTGAATTGGGAGTGATTTGAATGGACGGTCGATGTTGAATCCTTTGATCATGAAATGTTTACTAGGCATTTGAATTTCTTAATGATATTAGAATTCAGCGATCTTGGGCTCGTTGGATTTGTCTCATCGTGCTGCTCGATTCGATTATAAGCATGTCACGTTTGGAGACCATTTGATAATCCAAACTATGGTTTGAACCTCCCAAAAGTGCTTTGGGTCTTTGATTTGGACTCATTTGAGCTTTGATTGGGTCGATTTTGGTGTCGTTGGGTTTGTATTTTTGAGACGTTTAATTTGATTATAAATTTGTTAAATCAAAGAGCATAGGGTCCATGATTTAATTGTAGAAGTTTCCAACTTGATTTTGCCTCAAGATTCGTCACCGATCAATATAATTTTTTGATGATTTATCAACTTGTAAATTTTATCACTTTCTCCTTCATATATCTACTATTTATTGTGTTAAAAATAATTTGCAGGAGAGGCTTTAAATAGTTTAGTTTTTTACTTAATACTACTCTTGTTTGAGTTATGTGACTCAATTATATTGTTCATTATTCTCTTGTTGCTGTTGTGAATCTTTATGAATTAAGTGGAGTTTTTGCTACTTCTCTGGTTGATATGGGGTTTTTATTTCATTAAAAAATATTTTTTTATGGGAAATTCACGGAGGGGCCTACACGTTAATAAAAAGAAAATATTACAAAGTCCTTAACAGGTCCTCGCGCTCACTAATGCTCCAAAGAGTTACAAAATAAAAAGCAAAAAATCCTAAACAATATAATATTTCATAAAAAATTAATTGAATTGGAACATAATATTCACAAACAAGATAGTTTCAAATAAATTTTCCAATGAGCCAAACCCAAATTAGCAATGGATGGATGTTTGTCTGTTTGCTCAAGTTAGGATCGATCATTTACAACCCTAATGCCCATTTAATTCATTTTATTATTGATTAATGCTTAGGGTTAAAAATAAATTAAATCAAGATAAGAACTATAATATTCTTTATTTTATAGCAAATTATTTGAATTTAAAATCTTCATAAAATATATTTACAAGTTTTCTTTTTGAGTTGATCAAGAAAAAATTTAACTAATCATATAATATTAATAATTTAAATATATTAAAAAAATTTAAATCCGCCCATTTAACACATTTTAAAAAGTTTAAATTTTATTCAATTATATTATATACAAATATAAATTAGTATCAAATTATTCATCAGCACAAATTAGCGATCAGAACCCAGCTCTCAACAAATGGATATGGCAGTTAAGAGATGCTGTTGATGAGGCAGATGATGTGCTCGATGAGTTTGAGTACATGAAGCATAAACAACAGCTCACCAAAAACATGGAGGAAACAGATCAGGTGCGTTCTCTATCATCAGCTACCTATTTGATACTGGTTGCAAATAAATATATTTATTTTATAATCTATTTCTCGCTAATTTTATCAGAAAAGAACGGCGTTTTCCAAAGCGAGCTTCCTGATTGAAAGTTTTTCGAAAATTCGCAAAGTTGGCGAACGTGCTTTCAAGATTGATCCCAACTTGAAGAGACTGGAAGAGGTTGTGCAGAAACTAGATAAAGTTTCCGCTGGGTTTAGCACTTTTCTTCATCTTCTAGATAGCGCAAAACAGGAGCAGCGGGAGCAGCTGCGTGAGTTGTCCGAAGCACGTGAAACAGGATCCTTGCCTACAAATGATCTCATCGGTAGAGGAGAGGCTAAGGAGTTTGTTATGCAGTGGTTGAGGAAGCCATCATATGAGCCTCAGACAACTTTGCACAGTAACATTTCTCTTCTATCTATAGTGGGCCATGGTGGTATGGGAAAGACAACTCTCTTGCAACACGTTTATGAAGAAGAAATGAGGAAGGAATTTTTTGATCTTAAAATGTGGGTTTGCGTTTCCAACAACTTTGATGTGAAAAAAGTTATTGCAGATATGTTGGAATCTCTTAAGAAAGAGAGGCCTCGTTTGGAGACACTTGATGCACTTCAAAATAGTCTCAAGAATGAGGTGATGTCCAAAAAGTTCTTACTTGTGCTGGATGACATTTGGGAGAATGATGAGCAGGATAAAAAGAAATGGGAGAAGTTGCTCGCCCCTCTGGCTTATGGGAAAATTTGTAGTAGAATTTTGGTGACAACTCGAACGGATTCTGTTGCAATGATGATTGCAACGGTCATTAAAAAGAAGTCGGAAATATTTAGATTAGAGGGCTTGGAGGAAGATCAGTGTTTGCAGCTCCTCAACTCTCATGCATTTTTTGGTATAGAGAACTCCCCTGATGATCATAAAAAATTAAGAGCCATTGCTGGAGAGATAGTTAAAAAGCTTTTAGGATCACCATTGGCAGCAAAGGTCATTGGTGGTGTTCTGAATGACAACTTGGATGAAAGGCATTGGACAAAAATTTTGAATAGTGATTTTCTAAGTCCAAAATTGGGTCAGGATGACATCTTTCTCATTTTAAGATTGAGCTATATGTTCCTCCCAAAACATCTACAAAACTGTTTCACATTTTGTTCTATATTTGAACAAGATTATGAGTTTTCTAAAGATGATTTAGTCAAAATGTGGGTTGCATTGGGTTTCATTCAGCAACCTCATGATCAAGAATGGACTATGGAGGATATTGGAGGAAGGTATTTTGATGTTTTGGTTAAAAAAAATTTCTTTGACAAGTTTGAAATTGATGGACAATACTACAAGATGCATGATTTAATACATGAATTGGCACGATTAGTTTCCATACATGAATGTTTAAGAGTTGAGGATGGCACAAAGTTGCCTTCTATAATTCCTAAGACTCTTCGACACTTGTTTATTAAAACTACAAATCCAAACATCATAAAAAATATTGTGCAGTTTAAGTATTTGCATTCTCTTTTCTTGTTCTATGAAGCTTCCAATGCGGATCTTTGTAATGCACTTATTGAAATATTCAAAGCATCGAGAAGCCTACGCTTATTATACATATGGGCTCAAGAAAGCTTGGAAATAATATATATACCTGAGGAGATTGGAAATTTGATACATCTTCGATACTTAAAGATTGATTATTATGATTTGACTATACTGCCAAGATCTCTAAGTAATCTCTACCACTTACAATACCTAATCAATTATGGACATAATGTAGGTGATGATTTTTTACTGAGTGGCATTAGTAATCTTTCAAACTTGCTTTACGTGGAATTGCCCAAGAATGATATTTCATTGATATGTGGGATTGGGAAGCTAAAGTCTCTTCAAGAATTGAATATGTTTGATCTTAGAGATGTGAGTGGTTATAGAATTGGAGAGCTGGAGAATATGAATAATCTTTGCAAATTAGGAATCAATTGCCTTGAAAATGTTAAGGATGCCGAGGAGGCTTGTAGTGCCAAATTATGTTCCAAGAAAAGGCTCACAGATTTAACCTTATGTTGGAGTAATACTTATTATCCGAGGAGCTTCGATTTAGATGAGAACGTTCTCAACAATCTTCAGCCACCAAAATGTCTAAAGAATCTGAGTATAAGGAGATACATGAGTGCAAGGTCTGCAATATGGATGAACAATGTCAGTTTGATCTCCAATCTAGAGAAAATCGTATTGGAACTTTGCTGGGAGTGGGAAACTCTTCCACCTTTTGGGCAACTTCCCTTTCTCAAGTCTTTAAAACTTTCTCACATGCGGAAAGTAAAATGGCTCCAAAATATGTACTGCGTCTTTCCATTGTTAGAGGTGTTAGAAATTTACGGATTAGAAGCACTAGAGGATTGGTTTGAGGCAGGAGTAGCTGCTGAAGATGGATGTTTGTTTCCTTGCTTAATTCAACTGAAGCTATATGACTGCCCGAAGCTGAAAGAGTTGCCCTCTTTGCCTTCTAAGCTCAAGCAGTTGCAGATAAAATCTACGGGGTGGAAGACTTTGACTTTTTTTAGCAATTCAAATCCTATTCCTCTTGAATCATTAGCGGTCTTTCAATGTCCAAACATTACATCTCTTCCTCTGGCTGATGAAATAACAAGACTTGCAGCACTAAGATCCTTGACAATTGAAAATTGCCCCAATCTGATCTCTCTCGGAGAAATGCAAACCAGTAATAATTGCCATCTCATGCTCAGCAATCTCAGGATAAGTGATCCATTGGTGTTGCTAATGGAGCCATTGAGAAGTATCGCCTCCTTAAAAAAACTGAGTATTTCGAATAATGATAAGCTGGTTTCATTTCCAAATGAGGCGGAGTAGTGGTTTCTGAAAGTTAGGTTTTCTCTTTGTGAGCTTGAATTTTCATATCTCAAATCCTTAGAGTCTCTCCCTTCCTCCTTGGAAAGCTTATCTTCACTTCAGGTTCTACAAATTAATGATGTTCCTATGCTTCGGGAATTGCCGAACCTTCCTCCCTCTTTGAAATATCTAACAATTT